TAAATCAAAATTACCTTTTGAAGGGCGCCAAGGCATTTGGTGCAACCGGAATACGAGGAGTTCCGGCAACTCTTTTCAAGATTACGAACGGCGGCCGTCGGAGTGGCGTTATGGTAACCGCTACCACCGCCGCCAGAGACATTGAAGGCGGCGGGGCAAGACAACGAACTAATTTGATGAAGCCGAATCCCACAGAAGCACAAAACGGCGTCGCAGCTCGCATTCGGCTGCGGAATCTTAATGTTTCTACTCAACAGTGAGGTTTGCAACGAGTTGACGCATTTCTGCGAGTCGTCCGGCATCATGGGGAGGTCTCCGGCTGCTTCCGGCGTCGAGGTCGAAGCAGTAATTTTAAGGGCGGCCCGTGCATGAGCGGCGAAAAGCCACGCGGCCAAAACAGGACAGCATCGACTCCGGTCGAGATTCCGACCGCAAGCCTCTCTAACGCCGCCGAAAAGCTCGTCGGAAAGATCGAGGTGGCAAATTTGCATCTGGGTTTGAACGGGAAATGCAGGAACGGTGTTGGGGGAGGAATATTCGCCGGGATTTAGCGGTTGGCTTTGGCCGGAAACTGGTTCGACGAGGAAACCAGCTGAAGTGAAATGAAAATTAAGGCATAATAAAACGAAAGAAATAAAGAGAAAGGTAAAAGGAGGCATTTTGTTAAACCCCTTTATGGTAATCAAGAAAAATATGATTAGAACGGGAGAAGATTCTGAAATATTCTCCAAAGAAAAAGAAGAGAAGAGCAATGGCGAGTGATGGAAATGAAAGAGACAGGGAAATCTGGTTGGGTTTTTTTACATTGTATCATAGTATTATGGTCTATATATGAATTTCCCTCAATTATTTTGCACTGTTTCAAAGGAATGGTTTTTTTTCTGTGGGTTTGTAAAAGAAGAGAGAAACGGGTAGTGGGTGTCTGAGAGCGGGGCGAAAGATTCGTGTGAGTGAAGGAGAGAGGGAAAATGAAGTAAAAAAGAAGAAGAGAGAGTAGAAGATATTTGTCAGGTTGTGGTGTCGTTTTCTTGGTCGTTCTTTTTTTATGTCAATGGTAGTGTGAGGGAGAGGGAGAAGGTGAGATATGAAATAAAGAAACCATATAATAAACCCACTTTTAAAATTGATATCTATAAGCTGAAATGGTTCGACGTTTGGGAGTAGCCTCTACCCATCTATCTTCATCTCACTAACCAAACACACCTACCTAATAAAAAGTAGATTCATAATAGTTAATTAAGAAGAATACGACGGGATATGAGATCTTTTGGGAAAATCAAAAGTAAAATCACAGACAATATCATAACATGGTGGAGGTCGTGATTTCTAACATGGTATCAAAGTCATGTCATTGACTTAGTCATGTTAATAGAATCCTTAAGTGTTGAATAAAAAGTTGTGAGCCTCGAAAGTATAGTCAAAGGTAACTCAAGTGAAAAACAAATGGTGTAATTTGTTCTAGGGCTCCAGAGGAGTTGAGTCTGAATTAAGGGAAGGTTGTTTGATAGCTCTAGAGAAGGAGGCTCTATGGAATAGAGTTGAGTCTGAATTAAGGGAAGGTTGTTTGATAGCTCTAGAGAAGGAGGCTCAATGGAATAGAGTTGAGTCTGAATTAAGGGAAGGTTGTTTGATAGCTCTAGAGAAGGAGGCTCTATGGAATAGAGTTGAGTCTGAATTAAGGGAAGGTTGTTTGATAGCTCTAGAGAAGGAGGCTCTATGGAATACTGTGTTGTTTGAAGAGAAGATTGTTGGAGATTACTTAAAATGAGTAGTACCCGTGTCAAGGATATTTAGTAATAAATTATAGTTTACCATATATATGGTATTTGATATTTTATTATAAAGCAAACATCTAGCTATTTGCCTTCTTAGCGTAGGAATCTCCCCATTTATTGTTATTTCCATTTATTACTATTTTCATATCCTTGTAATTTATTTGATTATAAATAAGATAACTTTCACACCATTTAGGTACGGGGGATTAAGCAAACATTCTCAACCACGTTAGCTAAGTAAGAAGAAAATCTCCTCTCTGTGAATTATTGACTTTTCTGGAATTATTGAGAGGAGTAATCTATTACGAGAGCTTATGTTTAAATTAGACAATATCATATTATTGTGGAGGTCGTGATTCCTAATAACAAGGTGTCACGTTTATTTCATTAGAAAAAATTAAAAAAAAAACAATTTGAATGATGTTACCTCTTTTTCCCTTGAAATCATCAATGTGGTGATGTCTTTTCTAAAACTCATCTTTTTTTAGAAGACCACAGATAGGATCAGCAAGATTCAAATATGATATTTCAAATCAATTTACTTTACCAATTGAATAACATTACAGATGATTTTGAATTTTGGTACCAATCAGAATTATCACTACTTATTAAACTCAATATTAAAACATTAAATAATTTATTTAATACAAAAGAAATCTAGTAAATATTTTATAAAACATAAAGTTGAACTAAAATTCATACGCTTTTCAAGTATTTTTAAAAAAATACAAACCTAAAAGTGGGATTAAAAAGCATATATTATATAAATAAACCTTTTGTTATGGGAAAACGATGTGGGAAAGTAAGAAGGCATCTTTAAGGCGTTTGACATTTTCTGTGTTGATCTCATTCCACTCAACTATTTTCTTCCTGACTTTAGCCCTTATTATTTTTTTGCGTGCGTTACAGCCATTGCAGAATGAAACCCACTTTTTCTCTCACATATCTAGACAGAGACAGAAAATAACATTAAAAAAAGGTTCACGTGGAGTGCCCGCCCACATCCCACTTTCCCACAACACACCGTCAAAAATCAATCACGACTCTTTACAGTAGTATGATATCGTTTACTTTGAGCTATTTGAGCTAAATGGGTACGTTGTAAAGGCGGCAATAATCAGCCAAAAATGATTCAAACAAAAAGTTAAGCAAAAATGAATGTTTTTTTTTTTTTTTTACATTCAGCTTTGTTTATGGGTCCCTTCCATTTGTTTCTCAACTTTCAATCCAACAACTCAATTATGTCTCAGAAAGCAAAAAAAGAACAAAGACCCCAACTTTCGCATCAATTCTATAAAACACATCAATTATTCAATCAATTCTACAATATCATACATTACATGCATCATCATAGAGACAAGAGAGAGAGGGGGGTCTTTCTTTTTCTCTGCAGCTAAGGCGTTGGTAATTGAGGTAAGGAAATGTGTTTTTGAATGGTACGATTGTCGCAGGCTATAGCCCCCACACCCGGAAACGCTGTGTTCATTTTTTTGCCATTTTTGTGATGCTGCGTCCCTACTTCTTTCGCGCCTCTGCAAAGCCACAGCGGCGGCGACTGCGACGGCTAAGTGGGAGCTATGGATGGATGGGTGGTGGGGCAAATAATAGGAAAAAACGGTGTATTGGAATGGTGGTAAGATTGGATCGGGCTAAATGGGCTGGGTCCACGTGGCAAATGTACGAAGGCCCAATTAAAGTTTAAAAATATACTTTAAATAAAAGTATAATTAATTTAGCGGTTGCATAAAAACATGATGCTTAAAAAAGCTGAAGGAGTCAAGCAAAACGACAAAAGCACTAGGACATACGCGTCACCGACAGTAGAAAATGTGTCCAAGTACAAAAAATTGACTTTACTCCAATTTTAAACCAACGGGAAGAGTCAAAGAGCAAACTGTTCCGCAGTCGCACGCAACTGCTTCCATTCAAATTTCTATTTATATATTTATTCCTTTTTAATTTTTAATTTTATTTGGCCCTCCTTTTGGCAGGACCCTTTCCTTTTTTTCTTTGTGAATTATTTGGGTTGGACCACCGCCCACCTTATCCATTTCAACATCCACATAGAAATTTCTATATTAAGTGTTTGATCCAGACATTATAGGTTCGGTTAGGACCGCAACCTAGCTTTGTTTTTTATTTTTTGAAAATGTCTTATACCAATAAAAATAACGTTTTTTATTTATAAATTTATGATATTTCTCTTAATTAGCCAACGTAGGATGGCGAGATCCTCAAATAATTTGTATTGATAGTTCATCATAGCTATCATTTGGTTTGGTCAATAAGCGGTTGTTTTTGATGTCCATAAAGATAGGAGAAGATAGAAAAGTGGAAAAGGAATTACGAGGAAGCATTCCCACACAATCTTTCAGTTTCACACCCAAAACAGTGGTGGGTTATATATATATTTATCTATATATGGACAAAACTACACTTTTTAGGGTTGAAATTCTTGTGTGAACCGATGCCTATTAATTGATTTGAGACAAATGATCGCTTTTTTTGGAATGGGAAACTGCTTTCATGGCGTGGACTGTTGAGTATTTTGAAATATGCATACTCAAGCCTTCAGAATCTAGGCCTAAGATCATGCTGAAAGGCGTAGGTTAGTTTTTGTTGGTCTCGAGACGGAGGAGGCTAGATTAGTCGAAAGATGGTTATCGGGTCAAGGATGCAAGGTGACCCTAATTTTTCAATGTAAAAAGTGATAGAGAAAATACCTCGAGCCAATGTTCGAGTATCGGCACTATAGTGCCAAAGTAACTTATGATACCTACAGGAAAAGCTCGAACGACCTTTGACAAAAGGATACCTATACCCAAAAGAATATCTTTACCGTTAATTTCTTATGAAAATAAATATTTTTTTTAAATACTCTTAAATTTTTTAAAAAGATTTCAAAACACTACTTAAAAAAGATATTAATAAATATTTTTACAGATGGATGTAAATCACTTTTTTTAAATAAAATATTAACCATTTTCATTGTATTTTTTAAAATTTACAAAATAATTTACCTTATATCCATCTTTCAATTCTTTTCCCACTATATTTGCATCGATTTAATGGAAGAAAAAGGAGAATAAAAGGATGAATGCAGATAATGGTATAAAAATCAATCTTCTTTATGGTAACAAAACGACGATATGGGGGAGTCTAAAAGAATACATAAAATACACCCAAAAAAAGCTTACAAAATACCCCAAATTAATATCCAAATATTTACATCAAATCTGCAAAGTCTAAACCTTCAGGAATTTCAAACTGTAAAAAGTTACTACAGTAACTATCCCGCTCATCCTCGTTGCTGCTGCTGTTGTTAACGCAAGTAGACGAAGAATTCAACGGCGTGGGGCTTGATTTTGGCGTCGATATTACACAATCAAACCCTAAATTCTGGACATCATTATTCCAGATTTCTGGTAAATCTGAAGCCGTAGGATTCGAGCCATTCTCACCGTACACGTAATTGGGTTGGTTCACCAAAACATCCCCACCACTCAAATTTGACGGCAAAAAATTTAGATTCTCTTGTGAATATGGGAACTCATCAAACGTAGAAATTGGCATCGAAGAAGCATTTGCGTCATTAACGTTATCATTCGGCTGTAACAGCTGCGATAATGTATCCATTTGAGCTTGAAGCTGAGCCTGAGCCTGAGCTTGGAGAAGGAAACGATTGTCATTTGGGTCTTCTTGTTTGATGGCTAAGAGTGTAGAAATCAGCCTTAGAGATTCAGAATTTAAGCCGGCGGCTTGGTTGTTGTTCAATAACGTTGACAGGCTCAGGAGTGGGTGGCTGCAGATGGCCGCCGTGAGAATCGACGGTAGGTCGAGAAGATCGATCCGTGGAGTATGAGTCACCGGGTCGATTCCCATTCGTAGGAGCCTTTTTCTTATGTGGGTGTTCCAGTAATTCTTGATCTCGTTATCCGTTCTTCCAGGCAAACGAGCCGCTATCGCCGACCATCTAAAAGCAAAAACATTAACCATGAGAAAATGTAAATTAAAGAAAAAAAGAGTAAAATATTATTATTATTATTCTTACTTGTTTCCTAGAACACTGTGCAATTGGATTATGGTCTCTTCTTCTTCAAAGGCAAATCTCCCTCGCTTAATATCAGGTCTAAGATAATTAGTCCATCGAAGTCGACAACTCTTTCCACATCGTCGAAGTCCTGTAAATATCAAGAACAAAACGTAATTCTTAATTTTTATGATTATTTAGCCAAGAAAAAAAGAAAAAAAAAAGAAAAAAAAAATACCAGCATTTTTAGGAAGATTACGCCAATTCCCGGGTCCGTGAATTTGAATATATCTAACGAGCTTTTGATCCTCCTCGGGAGTCCAGGGACCTTTTTTAAGGCCATTTTTATCACAGCATGGAGCTCTCCCCATTTGGCTTGCAAAGTTGTTGAGACTAAGAGTGTTTGAGAAAAAGCGTAAAAGTGTTTGTTTTTCTGCTGCGGTGTCGTATGGAGGAGATGACCTTATATACACCTTGAAGGTGGAAGCCGAAGTCAAACTTATTTGGTGCCGTCCTAGATGCCACGTGTTCATTTCCTATGCATATGTATGGATGGATGTATGTATGTATACATGCATGATGATGTGTATATGCGCATGAGTTGACATGGGAAGTCCGTAAAATATTGTCGACATAGAATTTCTTTTTTTAATTTTTTTTATGTGGTGTATTTTTATTGGTTTAAAAAAATTTAATGGGTCCCACTAGTTTATTAAAATATAATATATGTCACTGTAAAAGATTCTAGAAAATTATAATCATCATAAGACCTCTCCTATTTGGAAACGTAATCACCACTAGATCTAAATCAGCTTTGATTTTTGAATTTTCACGAGGCAAGGTGAGAACTTAAGTTAATCATGTTTTTATTCTCCCTCAAATTATGATACTTTTTTTTTATTAACTTTAATTAAATTCAATGGTTCTTTCGACCATTTTAATTAGATTATAAATCTGCTTCTCGAAAATATTGTGAAAATATTCATTTAAATGATTAATTCTATTTGTTTAAAAATATTTTAGTGTGGGAGTAATTTCAAATATAAATTTGGATTGTTACACCATTTAGGAGGGTTACTGTTGTTGGATGATGAAATTTGCTGATTTAGGAAATGATCATGAGTTTATAATCAAGGAATACTCTCTCCATTGGCATGAGGCCTTTTGGGGAAATCCAAAGCAAAGCCATGAGAGCTTATGCTCAAAGTGGACAATATCATATCATTGTGGAGAGTCGTGTTCATCTAACATGATATTAGAGTCATGCCCTAAACTTAGTCGTGCCAATAGATAGGTAAATCCTCAAATATCGAACAAAGGACTCCAAAAGAAAAGAAGTGAAGCCTCCTCAAAGGCAATAAAAAATAACTAGGATTCCAAAGGAGTAGAGCCTCGATTAAGGGGAGGCGTACTTTGTTCGAGGAGAAGTGTTAGATGATGAAGGTCCCACATCAGCATATGAGACAATATATTGTCTTTTTCACCCAAAAACTTTTCCTCCCTCTCCTAAGATTGAAACCCTGGTGGAGGACGAATAGAAACCTAATCGTGGAGGTCTCAATGAAAAAAAGCCTTTTTGACATCGAGATGATGCAATGACCGAGATCTATTAGCTGCACCTACCAAGGGTTAAAGCGTACTTTTTGAAGTTTAATTAGTTGACTTCAATATGTAATAGGACTTGGAAAGATGATTCATTAATACATACATTATTATGATATAGACCCACATGAGTTGACATGAAAATTGGGAGCTAAGTTAAGAGGGCTAAAAGCTATGTTTTGATACGGGGGAGTTGACTTTACAGGAATGATTGGGCGGTTAGGGTAGTTAAGTTCTCTCATCAATATTGAAGAAAAAACATGTTTTATTTTTTACCGATTGCTTGTTCTAAGCCATTTCGTATTACATTACTTGTGGCCACCAAAAATGGGTAAGCCTTAGGACTTTACCCAACAACTAATTACGACAATACATTTCTATAACAAGACTTAGGAAGTTGCTAAGATTTTGTCTGTTACGTAATATTATTTAATTTGCTTGTTCTATGTTACCCATGTGAATATAATCTCATAAGAATTTAAGCTTCAAAATTGGATTTAAATTAAAATAATAGAAAACAGAACCTAACTTGGTTGAGCAACAAAATATTATTAAAATGAGTGAATATTTATTTTACACTTTTTTTTCCTTAAAATGCATAATCCGCAAAACCATGGCGTGTAAGCGTCACATGTTCACCTACAAATTTCCAAACTTTCCAAGCTGGAGCCTTAGCTGTCTGAAACAGACCACTATAATCCCTCCACGTAGCACACAAGTCAAAAGTCAACCAATCAACTAAAAAGAGCTCATCCTCTGTTGACATTTGTCCAATCACCAAAATCATGTGGCTAAAAATGCCTGTGAGGATTTGGGTTTAGGAACCCAAATCAAAGTCATCGAAAATCAGGTGCCATATTTCATCCACTCCTATCTAACCCATAAATCTCACTCCATTCCTTTCTTATTCCTTCACCTTTACACCACAAATTTTGGTTTCACCCGCCTTCCCGTGTATAGCTCCGACATCATTTGTAACAGTTCAAATCTACTACTAATAAATATTGTCCGCTTTAATTTATATCGTCGTTAGCTTAACGATTTTAAAATACGCTATTAGAGATAGACCCTTATAAAGAATGTTTTGTTCTTCTATTCAATCAATCTGGAATCTTACCCGTTATTTCTTTTTTTTTTTTTAATGTATTGAACCCATATGAAATTTTTAGTGGGTTGTGCTATATATATATATTTTTTTTAATGAAGGTTTGGAAATAATATTTATATCATGAAATAGATACACTATTAATCATTAATCCCCAAAAGATTATTTAATCCATTGTTGGTGAAGGGAAGAACCATTTATTCAATATATTAAAGTTAAAGCCATGCTTTGTGTTTGGTTGGCCCTCGTCCACATTGCCACGTCTCATTCAAACATTGAGGCTAACTAGTTCTTATTTTTTATTTTTTATTTTTTCAAGGACGATAAATATGACACGGAAATTCAAACGTAAGCATCATACCAATGAAGATTGGATTCTTTACTTATAAATTCATGACCAACTCCTTAATTAGCCAAGGTGGAACTCCTCTTCCAACAATCTTTCCCTCGTACAAAGTACACTATAAAGTCTCTCCCGAACCTATGGAGCACTCAAACAACCTCCCTTTAATCGAGGCTCAACTCTTTCATAGGAGCCATCGAACAAAGTATATATTTTGTTTTTAAGTTTAGAGCATGACTCTCATACCATATTAGGAATCACAACTCTGCACGTTATAGCTATTTTTATTTTTTGTATTATTAACCAATTAATTTCTATATTTTCCGTAACTCTCAAATTTAATTATTGTACTTTAATAAAATTTAGTTGGAAAATATTTTGTTTATGAAAATTAGTTAAATAATAACCATGAAATGTATAAAAATAAATTTTCAAAAAGAGGGGTAATAGAAATTAATGATTAAAAAAAATGAACAATAAAGTAGCCACAGAAATTATATTTAATTTATTAAAAACACACACTAAAATTGAACAAATAAAATAACGCTCAACTTGATGTAGACCATAAATGGTATTTTAAATAAAAAATATATAAATAAAACCAACTTTTAAATTGTGCTCCCATTCGATATCCATAGCAGGGCGAGTCCAACAAGGATCCATGGACCCAATTAATGGATGGGTATCCAATTATAGGCCCATTAATGAAGAGTCCAACAAGGATCCATGGGCCGAATTAATGGATTGGTATTCAATAGTTAGCCCATTTATGAATAGTCCACAAGGAATCATCGGCGCAATGAATTGATGGGTATCGAATTTTAGGCCCATTTATGAAGAGTCCAACAAGGATCCATCGGCCCAATAAATTGATGAGTATCCAACTATAGGCCCATTTATGAAGAGACCAACAAGGATACATGGGCCCAATGAATCGACGGTATCCAATTGTAGGCCCATTTATGAAGGGTCCAACGAGGATCTATGGGCCCAAGGAATTTTTGGGTATCCAATTCTAGGCCCATTTCAGAAGTCCAATAAGGATCCATGTGCCGAATTAATCGACGGGTAACAAATTTAGGCCCATTTATGAAGAGTCCACCCATAATTCATTGGGCCTATGGTCCTTGTTAAACTCTTCATATGGGCCTACAATTGGATACCAATCTATTTATTGGGCCAATGGATCCTTCTCGGACTCTTCAATAATGGGCCTAAAATTGGATACCCATAAATTCATTGGGCCTATGGATCCTTGTTGGACTCTACATAAATGGGCCTTCAATTTGTTACCCGTCGACTAATTCGGCCCATGACCCTCGTTGGACTCTTAAAAATGGGCCTAAATTTGGATTCCCACCAATTAATTCGGCCCATGGATCCTTGTTGGACTTCAGAAATGGACCTAATATTGGATATTCATGGATTCATTGTGCCTATTGCTCCTAATTGGACTTTCGAAATGGGCCTAAAATTGAATACCAATAAAATTATTGGGCCCAGAGATCCTTGTTGTCTTCCTAAATGGGCCTACAATTTGTTACCGATTGATTCATTCGGCCCATGCATCCTTGTTGGACTCCTCAGAAATGGGCCTACAATTGGAAACCCATTGATTCATTCGGCCGATGGATCCTTGTTGGACTCTTTATAAATGGGTCTCATATTGGGCCCATCGAATCATTGAGCCGATGGATCCTTGTTGGACTCTTAATAAATGGGCCTAAAATTGGATACCCATCAATTCATTGGGCCCATGGATCCTTGTTGGAGTCTACAATTTGTAACTACAATTTGTAACCCATCGATTAATTCAGCCGTTGGATCCTTGTTGGAGTCTTCAGAAATGGGCCTACAGTTTGATACTCATCAATTTATTGGGCCGATGGATCCTTGTTGGACTCTTCATAAATGTGCCTACAATTTGTTACCCTTCGATTAATTCGGCCCATGGATCACCCATATTTTGAAAATCTAAATTTAACCAAAAAAAAAAGATTGTATACACAAAAGCTAATGGTCAAATATCTGTGCAGAAGCATTTGTATTGACAATTGCAATCAAAATATGTAATACAGATGATTAAAAAATAGCTTGAGGTGGTTATATCAAAGGAGAATAAAGGTAGTGCCTGACTGAATACAAAATTCACCAATTGAGTGAATACCCAACAATACATTACAGACGCAGTTCTATCAGGTACTTCAGAATATTGCTATAACTCTCAAGTCTATCTCAAATTAGGCAGTGCTCCAATCAGCTCTCATAACCCAGTCTGCATGCTGTATTCTCCCAAGCATTTCGTTATGGCCTCACTAGCC